TCAGTAGGTTCTGTGTGTCTGCATTCTTACCAACCTTATGATTAACAGCAAGTGAGGAGTAAGTACTCTCTGTTTAGTCCTCTGCCCGTGTGTCATGCCTGTGGGACACTGGGATGCTCCTACACCACACCTGACAGAGGGAGTCATGCATGTCTGGGGAGCACCTGGGAACTAACTGCTCTTTTGTAAAGGAGCCAAAAGGTTCTGACAAGTAGCTGAGGCTGGGAACTCATCTGCTTCACGACACTTCTGACTCAGCTCCCATGAGATGCGACACCTCTGTCCTCCTGCCTTACAAATCGATTGCTAATTCCACTTAGCAGTGATTATTTTCCCCTCTAAGACTGAAACCAAAGGACATCCAGAGAATGGGGACCAGTGTGGCTGTGAAGGGAGCACCATGTTACAGTGGCCAGTGGCAGAGACTCACAGTGATGCCAACAGTAGTAAGAGCCATGACAGTAACCCGAGGTCCAGAGCAGACTTCAGCTGGGTTGCAGCTACAGCCCTCACTGTCATGGAGGTTACACAGAGCTTAGAGAGACACTCAAGGAGATGAACTGACTGATTCTCTGTGTGGATCTGGACGTTTTCATCCTTTCTTGTTAGTTTTGCTTACCTTGTGCATTTCTTCCCTGGAAAACACTTCTTGAACAACTCAGAATGATTAGACATATAACATAAGCCTGTACCCATCCTGGTGTGGTGGATCTCTTTCAATCTCAGCTGTCTGAGAGGCTGAGGTAAGAAGGTTGCTGCAAGTTGAACATCAAGCTGGGCTTTGTAGTGAGTTTAAGGCTAGCCTGACTTGTATAGGGAGTCACTGTGCCAATATGTTTTAAAATACCCGCTCCCAGTTTGGTGAAGTGGAATTTCTGCATATGGCAGGGTTGTTTTGCTCAAGAATCTACAGCAGCTATGAGTACCTATGTAAGATCTGCTCAAGAGAAAGCAAGTCATCAATTCCAGTGTGGATGGGGAGGAAATCATGAGGCTCCATCCTAGAGAAACTATTGGCAACTGATGGCTGAAGAAGGGGTGTTGTCTTAGTTTGAGTTACTATTGCTGTGATAAAACCCTATGGCCAAAGCATGTTGGAAAGGAAAGGGCTGATTAGCTTACACTTCCATATCACTGGTCATCATCAAAGGAAATCAGGACAGAAAATCCAACAGGATGGGGACCTGGAGGCAGGAGCTGATGCAGAGGCCAGAGGAGTGCTGCTACTGGCATGTTCTCTATGGCTTGTTCAGCCTGGTTTCTTATGGAAACCAGGACTGCCAGTCCAGAGATGGTCCCCACAATAGGGCTGAGCCCTCCCCAAATCATGAATTAAGAAAATGTCTCCCAGGAGAGCCCACAGCCTGATTATATGAGGACGCCTTCTTAATTGAGGTTCCTTCCTCTCAGATGACTTTGACTTGTGTCAGGTTGACATAAAATTATCCAGCAGGAGGGTAGTCATTTCTGTCCTGAGATGTGGCTCCTGATAGTTTTTTCAATGTCTATTTTTTTAATCTTCCTGTACTTGCTATCTTACAGAACTTTTAGTGACAATTGTGTTTTCAAATCTCTTAGTGCAGAGAATGAATTTCTGTGAACATTTCCTCCCATAGAAGTCATTGAGCAAACATTAGATTTTAGAGAAAACATTTTAGTACCTTAGGGTAATCAATTTGGTTGATTTAAAATACAATAAGTGTATTCCTTCTACTCAACATACGTCAAACTATTGCTGTCAACCTGAGGCACATGTCACCCATTCTGGTGGCCAGGGGCTCAGAGAAGTGCAGAGGCAGACATGGACCTTGGAATCTGGCAGCATTGGCTTCAGACCCTGGTGCTGGAACTTAACAGTTCCATAGTTTTCCATATGATGTTTGTCATTTGAAATCAAAGCTTTCTCAAGTCTAAACGGGGCCCCAATCTATCAACAGATTCTCACACAGAAGACTATACCATGTACAAATTGTTGAGGCATTTATTTGTTTATCAATCTATTTATTGCAAAAGTTATGAAAAGCAAGAGGTTGGAGGGGGATCATGAGGCAGCAGTGAGCTTGGGGGGAGACGGAAGCAGCTGCTGGGAACTACGCAGACTAGATGTGCTGGTGTTGCTCTGGCCTCATCTGAGACTTTCTTCTTCCAAGACCTGAGACAGCAGCACAGCACTTTCCACGTCATAAACCACAGGGCCGAGCACTGTCTAACAATGTGACTGAGAGGAGAGAAGGTTAGGGAGAAAGGAACTCGGGAAAGAGTAGGAGTGAAAACTGAATTAAGGATTCCTGGAAGGCAATTAAGGATTCCTAGCTCCTGAAATGGAGCTCAAATGGGGGATGTTGGGAGGGGCTTTCTTTGCAAGTGAGTACAGGGAGTTGAGAGAAAACCAGGGAGAGAGGGATGTGGGCTCCCAGGTAGGTTACAGATGCAGTCCAGACTTCAAGGATCAGTAACTGAATAATCAAGACTAATGATTTTGTCTCAAATCCCAGAGAAACCCTTTCAACTTCTCTAGCTAAATATATTCTAATTGCCAATTCCTCTTCCTGAACCTGGCTAGCTAAGCCATCCGGAGCTCGACCCATTTATCTGCGGTAAACCTCTTCACACAGCTGTTTTCCACGAGCCAGGATTCAGGATGTTCAGCGAACACTGCACAGCAGAATCTCTCCACTCTGAGCGCACACACATATGCACATGCGACTCCGGAATCGTGGACTTCGATGAATTTGCATGTGTACTTGATCTTCCCCTTCTCCTCACAGAAGTGAGTGACAGGCAGCTGCTTGATGCACTGTTCTATTTCACTCTGTAACCGCTTAGGCTGGCAATTCTTTGCTTCAAAACCAACTATTTGCTGGTTCTTTTCATCCAAACCAATAAACAAATACCCCCCGTTGGTGTTGGCAAAGGCAGAAACAGTCCGAGGGAGAATCTCTTTAACTCCCTGTAGCAACTTTTTTGTTTCAAAGGACTTGTATTCAACATTTTTGGATTCGCTAAAAGAGAATTTTGCCATTTTTGTAAGTTTTGACTGTTTAAAAAAAGCAGCAGCCAACTCCTGCACGTGGACTTCTTCCTGGGTATCATCACCAGGCCTTTCTGAAGGCCTTGCTGAAGGTGACCTTCCTCCTGCGCCCTGCATTATTTCTAAGAACTCCTGAGCAGCATAAAAGCTCATTTCAACTGAAGATGCCCCATTTCTCATGTACAAATTGGTTGCAATGGTGGCAGGCTTCCCAACAGGGATATCTGGACTCTGTGATTTGACACTGATGAATAAGTCAGATTGATCTTGCTTGAAGGCTAGGAGTCTAGGCGGCAAAATGTTCTTAAAGGAGGTTTCCAAATCATCTCCTATTCCATGTTTGGAGTAACGATATTCTGGGTTTTTACTTTGAACCTTGACCTTTCCCTCTCCAGAATTCATCAGAGCACACAGAGCTTTGGAAACGTTCCTGTTCTCTTCTACCCTGACATGATTCTCCATGTTCTTCCGACTTTCTATCCCAAGTGTGATCTCTCCTGCATTTAGAAGCATCATAGAATCGGCCTTTTCAACGGTGATGTTCATTTTCCAGCAGTCCTGCTGCTCCCGAACTGAAATCCTTACCTGTAATTAGACAGAGCCATTAGTGTTGGCCTGAAGAGGAGAGGGCAAATTCTGTACTGAGAAGCTAACAGCAAAAATTGCTTGCTTGGTGTGATCCATGGGCCTGGAGAGTGTGCAGACTGAGGAAATGGTTGATTGGGAACGGACGTTTAGACCGTGGTAGTGTGTATATGTAGTGACTTCTCACCGTGTTTTCTATATTCCTTCTGATCGCTCTGCATTTTGGCCTCATATGATCAGTGACTTACCTCCTTCCTAATGTTCACTGTTATAGAACTCGGATTCTGTACTTTTCTTACAATAGAACACAAGCCCAAGTTGCCTATGTTTTGGGGTTTTGTTTGTTTTTTTTGTAAGCAAAATATAATATTATTTTGTTACTCATTATTTTTCTTTTAATAATTTCAGCTGTTCATTCATCAGTTGTCTACTTTTATGAAGGGACCTCTGGCAAAACTGCCTTTGGGGATCTAGGGACATACAAAATCAAAGTAGGTCAATTGTCTTCCTTTTTCTAGGAATAAATTCATTCTCAAACTTTGGCCATTAGCCTTGAAGAAGATGGACCAGGCAGTGGTCCTCTATTCTTATTGGACATCCACATCCTTACAGTGAGGTAAGTAGGTTCTTATGTATGAAACAGACGCCTTGTGACCCAATGCCTGTTTCTTTTCATATAGTTTTTTACTCTGGTGGTGAAGAGGCCTCTGGGTTTTCTAGGTCATAAAGACAGTGTCATCTAACTGGCTCCAGTATCTGGAAAAAGGTCTTCCAGACAGCTAAGCTCACCCTGTGCTATGTCACCTCCCAGGGAGATGTTAGCGGTCTTCAAAGAGAAGAGGATTGTCCCTAGACTCTAACCATCTTGATTTGTACCTCTACACCTACACTGTGAGAAACAAACGTCTGTTATTCATAACTCACTAAGCTTATGGCATTTTGTTATATCAGGCTGAGGGACATTAGGCAGCCAGCTTTAGGCTCTGTGTCTCTCAACCTTGGTATTATCCTTTTAAGAAACATCAGAGTACATTTCACTACAGACTATGACCTGAAATGATTTGATATTTGCCAACTACTTCTTGTTCCTGTTTGGTTAGGATCTTACTTATTTTTATTTTATCCGTATGAGTGTTTTGACTACATGCACGTCTGTCACCATGTGAGTGTGGTGCTCACAGAGTCCAGAAGAGAGCATCAGACCCTCAGGCACTGGAAGTCAGCCTGCAGGTGGATGCTAGGAACAGATCCCTGATCTTGCTTTTCCCTGGGATCACATATCATTCACAATCAGTTTTCTATTACAACAATTAACTGTGTGCTTTAAAAAGACTTTTACCTGATGCATAAACCCATATATATTACTGAGTTACTAAGAGAGTCTCCCGTGCAAGTTTCAAATGTTTACTGTAACAGTCCTACTAACATGGCTCAGAGTGACTGGGGTTTGAGTATCCTAATCACATCAGATTTTCACTTAGCCCAAGAATTCCGTCATGGAGTCCCTAGTCTGGGACGCAGTATGTTTCAGGCATTTATAAAGATCTGCTGGAATGGGGGAAGGAGCATGGGATGCCAGAAGAGGTTAGACAGAATGGAGCCAGACTCCACAAAATATGAAGCTGAACCCCAGAGGAACAAAACATGGGATGAAAGGGTTGGAACTTCCGGAATTGAAGACTTAGACTAAAACAGAAGGTCATACTGACCTTCTGCCTGTGGTATGTAAAATAGCTAAAACCATCTAAGCACATACAGCTTTATGCTTGGAGAGTGAGCTTCTGAAGTCAGAATTACTCAGTCATACATTGGAGATGAAGCACCTAAGAATTTGGAAATGAACTAGCAAATTCTTCTCTGGAGGATGGCATCAGATTCGTCTCCACCAGATTTATCATGGGCAGGCCTACAGGCTTCTGTCTATTGCCTTAAGGAGAGCACACTGTGACTGCAAACCAGGAACAAACAGCAGCAGACACAGCATCCCTCAGGGCTACCTAGAAACTCAGAGCTGAGCAAGGACAAAGCTGCTTTCTTGAGAGAATTTCATTCAAAGAGGACCCAGGGAGAAAGCATTTGAACCTGACCTCAAGACATCCCAGAAGTGAGGCTGAGGCAGAAGTCCTAATCCCAGCAGGGGAACATCAGTGAGGCTAGCCCAACACAATCACTTGTGCATAACTTCACAGTTCAGTGGTCTTGGTGAAAAAAAAAAAAGCAGAGAGAGAGAAAAAAGAGAGAGAGCACAGAGACAGAAAAATACAGGGACAGATAAAGTTAGAGACAGAGAAACAACGAGACAGAGAGACAGAGGAGGACAGAGTCACAAAACACATAGAGAAACAGAGAGAAATAGAGACAAAAGACAGACAGAGTGCTCTATTTATGTCTTGCCTATGTTTCTTTTCCTTATTATAGCTAGTTAGTGTTGCTTGGCTCCTACTTCTTCCATGGGAGGGCTGCTCCAGAGTCGAGACCATTTTTGCTGATGGACTGCCTGGAGATAGTTTCACCACCACTGAAAAAGGAAGCAGGGAGCCAAGGGGGTGGTGCACACCTGTCATCTCAGCTCTTGCAAAGCTGAATTGGAAAACAACCGGGAAGATATTCTGGGCAAGATTCTGTCTGCTACAGTCTCCTTGCTGGGTAGGTATTGGGGTAGAGGGTGTAAGTAGGGAGGAGACAGGGAAGCCAAACAGAAACAAAACTGAAACCCTAGTAAGGCCACAGGAATAACAGTTTCATTTCTGCTCAGATGGAAGGTGCAGCCCCACCCTGTTCTTTCTATGCACTGCTAAGCAGTCTCTGTTAATCATTTCCCCCCAGTCCCTCCCATCCAGCACCCCTTAATCAGGCTCTGTCCCAAGCCAGCACTCCTGGTTCACTCCCCAACATGGAAAGGATCCACACATCTCACACTAAAGTGCTGATGGAGAATACTCATTCACTGGCAAATTTGGAACTCAGAACTGTACTGGAACCATCTTATAGAGAGTCTGTGGGATAGCCTGGGACCTGGCCTGTATCTCTTCAACACCTCTAACTATAAAAACATTTCTATGATTCAAATTCTCTCCCTGGGGCATCTATCCAGAAAATTGTCTTTAACAACTAAGCTGGACTCTGGGGCTCACCAAACTCTAATACCTACATGAAACTAACTCATTGTTGTCCCAGAAGCATTGAGTTGGGTTCAAACAGTAGTTTCTTTCAAAATTCTTTATAGTGTTCATGGGAGAAAATTCTCAGCACTGAAATCAGAATTGTTGCTGTTGTTATCTTTGGCGGAAAACAGATGACAATCAGGCAGGCGACCCTAATTCTACAAGCAATGCCAGTTGGTAGGAAGGCACAGAATGAGAGGACACAGGAGTGGGAAAAGCGTCTCTTGGGAAACAGCTGTGGAGGACTTCCAGCTAGGATGCTGCTTTGCCTCTTGCTTGGGAGAGCAACAATGCTCTTGTCTTCTAGGGGAAAACCTCCAGGATCTGCGCTTCTTCGATCTACTTAGTTCCAACTTGGAGTTGTTCCTATTTAAGGGCAATTTCCCCCTACCTTCCCACAGAGTCATGTCTCCAAGAAGATGGAACACCTTCAGAGGGGCTTGGAGACCTGCTCAAGCCCCTGCCTCAGTAACCCCTACTTCATCTTCTCAGAATATCTCAGGTCCCTCTATCCGGATCTGTAGTAGACCAATCTAGGCAGACCAAGGGAGGGACTTTGCTCTCACCCCATGCTCCTGTACTATCCAAGTCTTCAGCAGCCAGTGATGGAGGCTAGGAAGGTACCAAGAAGCCAGATTTCCTAGAGAGGTATCAATGCAGCCAGGGTCCTCCTTAGAGCTCTGGATCGTGCTGACAGCCCCACCTCATCCCACAGCCAGGAGAATAAACTATGGGTGGGCTCTGGGACAGAGAAGTCTAAAGATGCTGAGACAGAGGCAGCTGCCATGGAGGGTGGCTCACTTACCTAAGCTGCTCTACTCAAGTTCCTTCAGCTGCTTGAAGCCAACTGTGAGTTGGCTGTGCTGT